CCCCATTCCCTAAAAAAATACCCCCAAAAAAGAGATAAAGCACTGTTTCTTGCAGAAAACCTTATGATTCATTATCAGTAGCGTGGGATATCTCTACCTCTAGAGACCACATTTCAGTGTTCTGTCTGGCAAAGCTGTTCACAGCAGAGGGCAGGGGAAAATTCTCAAAATGGACATTAAAATTTTCCGTGTGGATGTGAATACCAGGCTGAAAGCTGCATTTCCTGTAGCCAAATCCGTGAGGAGTACTTGCACCTTCACACAGTGCCAGCCCACTGCCCACTGGGACAGAGATCCTGAACTGACTCTATTTAATGGAGAGCCTGAGTAACATGGGGCCTGGAAAACGTGTGGCCTTCTGGAGACCAACAAACCAAACCTTCTGGAAACAAGCAGAAAAATGCTTGTGGCCACTGTGCAAGCTGATCATTGGAGGCTGTCACTGTGCACCCCTGAACTGCCCCACATACCCCAAACAGCTTCTCAGCAGCAGCAGTGACTTCTACCAGTCCAGATTGCGTTTCATCCTCAGCAGTTCCTTGCTGGACAACAGGGGTGAGATCTGGTGATGTTTGCACATGGTGTTTTTATGATATATTCTTATTAGAATGAACAGGGCTAAGCTGTCTCATGCCCTGGGGTTCCTTGGGATATTACTCAGATGAGCAACATCTTTGGCCAAAGTTCTGAATGCTGCAGTTTTATCCTGTGACACTGTGCATGCTACATCTATCTGAGCTGTCTAGAGGTTTAGGCAGTATTTATACACTGATAAAAGTCTTGGGGCTGGGGATGAGCAACACTCTCAGGAAATCCATTTGACAAGAGAGGGTTGGTATCTTCATCCTACCCAACTAGGTTCTGCAGACATGAGAGATGTTGCTGTACAAGTAATCAGAACAGAAGAGGGAGGCTCTCATAATCTTTCCTCATGTGCTTGTGCAGGAGAAGAGAATTCTTTAATCCTCCTATTGCTATGGGCTGGTTTCAAAATCGTAAGTTACAGACATAAGTGCCTGTGAGTTGTAATGAATTTGGAAGTTACAGCACAAAAAGGGTGTCTTGGGGAGAAAATTGTTGTAACTGCTACAAACGAAAGTGGGAAGATGATTTTCCCTCTGAGTGGTGACATTTTCAAATACAGAATCCCAGTTTCATTTCACTGCATTCCTGATCTACTTAGGTGTTTATTTTTGCATCAGAGAGCAGTAATGTCAAGCACGTTGCAAAGTCAAGCAACAGAGACTTAGACGAGATGCTGGGGCTGCTGCTTCCAGCACAGAGAAAATATTATCTATGTTCCTAAGAAGGCCAGTTATGAATTCCAGAAGCAATCCAAGGACTGAAAGGAAAACAAGTCCTCAGAAATGAGCACAGTCACCAAATCAGCAGAACATTTTCCACAGCATTAGAGAACGAGACCTTCTGTAACATTATCTCCACCTATATGCATCTACCAATATGCATCTATCATCTTATTCCCCACGGTGCATGAGAGTGCAGAATTCTGGCACTGCCTGAAATCTGCAAGATGAGCAAAACTGTCCCCAAGGGAGGGAGACCACGAGTGCAGTGCTGGTCCTGGCCTCCAGCCCAGGATGTCTGTAGCAGTTTGCCCTGAGACTGCCAGCTCTCTCATATGCTCACCTGACAGCCACATGAACGCTGGCAAAATGCTTACCTTGCTCTGTCATTAGAGCATAGCCCAGAGCAGTTGGTAACTGGCCTAGTGGATAATAAATATGAGATTATAAAGAAGAGGTCTGTCCCAGTATGGCAACCCCTGTGTGGTACAGCTTCATTAAAGTTAATAATAAAATTACTTCTGGAGGATTACCCAAATGGTGGTGAACCTTCTCCTTCTAAAACAGGCTGAAGACTCACACAAGTTGAAGAATCCTGAAAATATGAATCCTCTTTCATGCCCTCACAATTATTGTTCCTGGCACGATGATGTTGAATGCATACCACCACTTGCTGAATATGGAGCAACCTGTGCCCTGGAGCAGCCAGCACCTGGACACAACTGTTCTGCAAGAGAAGCCCTACAATCCAGGGTTCATACAAAGTCCCCATGTGCCAAATACTTTACAGGAGCAGCAACCATGGGGCTGCTGCACTCCCTTAGTATCCAGTGGGTATCATCTGCATAGTGCTATCCCAGTTATCCTTGTTGCTGCCAAGGAACCTGTGGCTGGGGAGAAAGTTGGGTGAGCTCAGACACTGGAAGAGACTGGAGATGCCAGGGCAGTCAAAGTGTGGCCAGCAGTGAGTGACTGCACGGGCAGTGAGTCCTTCCCTATGGATGTCAGTAGCCGATGACACCACCTGGTATCTCCAAAGCATCAAAGTAAGGTGCCTCACTGGAGGTGAATGGATTGTGTTCCACTGAAACCTTCAGGAAATTTGCAGGCAGGCCATGCTTTTGTTTCCCCCAGAGCCACGTCTATAGAAAGCAACTCTTGTGTAAAAGACTTCATTTGCTGGTGCTCTGTTTTACCTTCATGCAGACATGCAGTAGTCCCACACACACTGCTGGCATTTCAGCTCTGACTCAGGGTCTCTTTTCAACAGTGACCTGAATGCCACACGCTTGCTTGGAGGTTTTCTTGACATTTGTGAGTCATTTATCCTTCCCTGACCTGCATGAGGGAATCTGGCGGACTAGGCTGTGTTAGCACAGCTGTCAGCCCCCAGAAAGTAAAAGCTGTACACATTCAAGAGAAACACTCTCACCTCTAGTCAAGAAAGGCTTTTGAATGTTAGCCCACCTCCAAAAAAGTAATTAAGGAATGTTGTAGTGTTATTAGTGTTATTAACCTAACCTTGTGTTATTAACTCATCCCTTTCTAATCCTGAGTAGATTCATGGCCATCTTCCAGCATGGACAGATTTTGTCCCCTTCGAAAAATCAGCTTCTAATTGTCTCCTTTTTCTCTCTTCCAAAGTCTTCTCTTACATTTTACAAGCCAAGACAGAAGGTACATCTCAGACCAGATGATGTCATGGTTACTGTGAGCATTCACCCAGGACTGTCCAGCCTTAGCATGGGCAAGTTTAAACACAGAAGCCAGAAGCCACCACTCAGACCAGCAAACCCCCCACCACCCCATGGCTCAACCCCACTGGGTTGCCAGTGGGTCTCCTGCTGGGGTAGGTCAGCCTTGAGCCCTGCCCATGCCTGGCCAAAGGCAATATGCTTACTGGGTGAGACCAACCCCTCTCCTTGTTCCTTCTCTGTGGCACTTTGTTCCACAAAGCCCTTTTTCTCCCATCCAAAGCTATTCCTAAATTCTCTAACATCTGCAGATATTGCACAGCACAGAGTCTGCCCCATGCCAACCTCAATCTGACCTGGTGACCAGTGCCACAGCCTTTTGTTCAGTCCCAAAGGAAATGGGTGGCTGCAGAGAAGAAAAACAAAATCCTGGCAGTAGCACACCTCCCTTTCATCAGAAGAGCCGAGGAATTTTGCATAAAGACAGATGAGTCCCAGGCACCTGGCAGCCAGCTGAGCAGATGAGTCATTTGAGGAGCTGGGGCTAACAAGTGATATGTGCATATTTAATGCATCCCTGTGTTCCTGCCTGCTTTCAAGTTGCTCAGGGATGTTTGTTGAAGCTCTGGGGATGTTGGAGCCTCACAGGTACACTTCAGCCTCCTGAAAGGAGAAGTTTGACTCAGATACTTATCTCAGCGCTTTCTGCTTCATAAACATCTCTGCTGTGCTCAAACATTAAACTCTCCAGGCTGGAAGGCACTCAGATGGATGAGGACCTGGGGAATAGCTCAGTGTCTTTGAGAGAGACGGAAAGGCCTCTCTGGCAGTGAATGATCTCCCTGTCTCCCCTTTCTAAACTGCTTCCAGAATTACTAAAGATACAGTTGTCACAGCACAATCATGAACTTTCTTTCCTTGGGTAAATTGGATTAAAAAGAAAATAAATGAAAAAGAAAACAGCAACAACAACAAAAAAAAGACCTTTGAAATTCTTTTTAAATTGGTACTTGAGATGAGCCTGTGAGCTGATCTTTTAAAAATAGTGTTTTCTCTTCCACAAGGAAACTCAATGGTGTGGAGGAGGTAAACAGGAAAAACTCACAAAGCAACAGGGCTGAAACCCTCAGGCATGGGTTAAAAGTACACTCCCCTTTCATAAGGCATAGTACATAATTACCTGGTGGAATTCATTGCTGCAGGACAAGTGGAGGACAAAAATTAAAGCAGGCTTCTGTGCTTTATTTATTTATGGAAATTATTTACACCAAGTCTTGTTTAACCAAGGAAGGTTAATGCTTTCTCTCGGGGTATCTGTTCAGTGGCAGCACTATTCCTGTGGATTTTGTTTTCCATTGTCTAATTTGAATCTCCCAAGCTACAAAGTGTGGCTGTTGCTCACTGTCTCACCATCTTCCACAGTTGAGAAGACATTGATTTTGTCATCTTTGTACCTCGCCTTGAAGCAGTTGTAGGCTGCTACCAGCTCATCCCTCAGCCCCCACTGCTGAGGCAGCTTCTCCATAATTCCCAACCCTACCAGCTCCCAGAGGGTGCTGTGCTTTGAGAACAGCCTGGCCTCACTCCTCAGGAAGGCAGAGCTTCCTGATAGAGCTGTTGTTGTCTCTTGCCTCTGCTCCACAAGCAATTTGTGCCCACGGTTCTGATTTATGTGAAGAGGCAGGAGCACGGATCCCAGGACCCACACACCTTTGCCCAAAGTAGTGAGTAAAGCTCACCACCATGCATCCCTGGTAAAACACCTTCAGGGGGGATTCTGGTGAAAAGCCTGCAAGGGGAGGATGCTGACCAGCAACACTGGCCTCTGCCAAGCCACTTACTGAGGTGTAAACTGAGGTCTCAGCATGGCATTGAGATCCATCAGCGCTGCAACTCTCAGGGGAAAACCACTCTTCAGGTTATCCTGGGTGCTTTTTCATGGTGCCTGTCTTACTACAGATGAATCAGAGAAGAATGAAATATGCCAGTGTGATGGTTATTAATGTCTCTTTAATTAGTAACAGAACAAATATGTTTGGACTTTGATAGTTTTACACAGAAAATGTTGGAATGATGTGGTTTCATGTCCATTTTGCTCTGTTTTATTTCTATTTAAAAATACACCTCTGGTACACAAGATTTAAAAAAAATAGATTTTCACAACAAAGTAAGTGCTTTGAGCACTAAAAATTCACTTGTGCACTGTAATGTTGGCTTAAATATTTACATTTGCTAGCCATATCCCCTCCCTACCCCAAAAATGGGCAAACCCCAGGTTATAAATATCATCTGTGTATTTTGGATACAAAACTTTCCCAGACGAAAGAGCAGGAAACATAAACATTACAATTCTGTGGCTCAGACAAATTGATTTCAACTCCCCCAAAACAGTAAAAAAGGAAAATAAAAACACTTTTGTCAAAAGAGAAATGGCACAGGGAACACGACCTTAGTTATCAGGCACTGCAAGCAGAAGGGGAAGAAATTCTGAGACATACTTTTCAGGGCAGTAATAGCACAGACCAGGTGGCAATTGTGTGCTTTCAGAAGGTCAAAAAGGTTTAAGAATCACATTGGTTTGGAAGGGGGCCTCAAGAACAGAGCAGGTGAGATGTCTCTTAAAGTCCTTCTCCACCTGCTGTAAGGCTGGATAATGGAAAAGCAACAATTTTGACAGCCAGCACCTGCTGATCTTGAGCCAAGACAACACATCAGGAAATGCTGACATGTTGAAAATGTTGTTTTCTGGCAACAGGCTCCTTCCACCGTTTTCTGAGACTTTCTCATGTAGACTGTGCTGATCACACTGAGAAGTGACCTAGTTCACCACCTCAGTCATGGCTACCTTGCCATTAGTCCAAGCAGTGTGGGATGCATCCTAGAACATCATGAAGTCCCCTCTTCCAAATGTGGAAAAATCCCTTGAAAGGAAAAATGGTCCCTTTTGTAAAGCATGAGTTAGGGCAGAAGGAGAGACATTCACAGCTCATGGTTAAAAACAGTACATCAACAACTAACCACGTGAAGGCAGCTGGGATGAAATGTCACCAGCTTTGCAGGGCTGATCTCAGGTGTCATCACAAACCCACTGCATGTGGGGAAGGTAACAGGCATTATTCAGTAGCCAAGGTCACACCTGCTCACAGGGCAGGAATTGCTACTTAAATATTTGGTGATCAATGCAGCTGAGGACAAAACAAGAGGAAACGTCACTGAAATTTTGATATTGGACATGGGATTGAGCCCTAGAAACCAAAGTGTGCAAAAGTGAACCAAATGTGCCTCCTTCTCCAGTAAGTCAGTGGCTTTCTGAAACAGGAACCATACAACAGAGACTGGAACCTATTAAATGAAAAGCCTGTCCAGAAGTTCTTGGAAAACTTAGGATTTGGCACTGGCCCGAAGAGGCTCTTCTGCAGTGTTCATTGATTCGGAATGCCCAGAGCAAGTCCTTGGGAGTGGGTCTCACACCACAGGGTGTCTTGTCCCATTGGACTCCAAATGAGCCAGCAGAGGTTGCCTGCCAGAACACTTCAGTGGCAAATTCGTTCTGTCATTTCTTTCTGCAGAGAAAGGAAAGAAACAGTAAGTGCAAAAGACAGGTTTGAGTAGCGTGACGTGTCAGGCAGTTTGGCAGGTGTCCAAAACCAACCCAAGGAAGCAACTGTGGGAGTCTCGGGGAGCGTTTCTCTCTTTCCCATGCCAGCCCTCCTGGGAACTGCTCTGCCTCAGCAGCTCCATCCTGGCATCCTTATTATTTGGGCTGTGCTCTAGCTTTGAGAGCAGTCCAAGGAAAGAGCTTTGGTTGAGACATTGAAAGGTGCAGGTCCTGCTCAGCCGTGGAGCAGCCAGACAAGGCGATGCCACTCAGAGCCTCTCTTTGCAGCTGCCTAGGGAGACAGGACATGGAGCTGCTCCCAGTTCTTGCTCTGGGAGCCGACCACAGCTCACCCAGTGGACCTGTGGTTTTGGCAAGGGATCCCACAGTCACACTGCAATGCAAATGAGTGCTAATAACAGAGGCCACAGGAAACCTCCAGCCAGACCAAACTCTGTTTAGGCTAAGAGACTGTTTTCTTCAGCCAGAATGGCATCATGCCAGCTGCATTAGGACAGTGTCCAGCTTTCAGCTGGTGGGAGATGGTATTTGTCCTTGCCTTAAGGAGCTCAGCTAATAGTTTCTAAATCACATGCATTGCTGCAGCGAGGAAAGTGTGATTCTGGCTCATCAGATTCGTGGCTTGTGAATTTGCACGTGCACACAGATCCCCTCACGCATCCCAGGGGAAGGTTTGCACATGAAAACATACTCGCAAAATAGATCTGAAGTAGGACTGGTCTGTGGAGAAGGAAGAATGCAACTCTGAAAAAAGAAGAACAAGGAAAGTAGGATGACCCCACAGCTCTGCTTTAGTGTGTAACCAGCTGGACCCCTGCCAGTGCTGCAGCCCAGCACCGTGTCCTGCCCTTGTCAGGGAGGCAAGTGCACGGCTTCTCTCTGCTCCCTTGTCTATTGATTTGTTAAAGAGAGTGGATCACTGCCTTTGGCTGGTTCTAACTGTAAAAAGGATCTCAAGATTTGCTAAGAAATCACATCCCAAGGAAGCTTGACAAAAGGGAAATTGAAGCAGCAAAGGGAAGTTCAGCCAGAGGAAGGCTTAGGAAACTGAGAACTCCTTCACCCCTGTAATTTTCCAAGCTATTTTGACCTAACAGTGAATTTTCTGGCTGAGGACATGCTGGGTTGTTGGTTCTTTTTTTTCTTACTCCAAAATCTGCAGACTGGGGCTTCTCAGCAGAATTCCATGTCAGGAATGCTCCAACCATAATACAGGACTCAGACCTGCTGTCATGCTCCAGATGTGCTCTCCACACTTGCCTGGTGGCCTTCCATAATCACATGCAGGGAACAGGCACCTCTACAGGCAGGAGTCTCCTCTGTCATGGATTCATAGGGACTAACTCCAGGCATGCAAATGCAAGATTAGGACAGTTGTCTGGGCTCATGAGGCAGCCTGGTTGCAGGACACTCTCATATGCACCTATGGCAAATCAATGCCTGACGGAAGGAGGTCCTTCCTCCTGCCTGGTCCATCCTCCCAACCCTTTGGCTGGGACTGCTTGAGGCTTGAATGCCAGGCAATGAGACAAAGATAGACCAGAGGCAAATGTGTCTCGTTTCCTTGTAGTTTAACCCTAGTTGCATCACGGGGAAAAAAATCTGTTCATCTTAGAATTCATCCAGACCCATCAATCATCTCATGTTGCATGTGAGTCATTGGCATTGAAAGCCTATTTAGCAATGCCAGCCTCTGCTTTGGCTATTAGGTGCTAATTATTTACATTAGCAAGCATCAGTCCAAGGGGATGACACAATTATGGGATGTTTATCAATTCTGAAGAACTTTGTCATGAGGAGCACTGGTGAGGAACAGAGGACAGACTGATGCTGAGCTGCCATTTACTGAAGCTGAGGGCCATTGTGTAATGAATGTCACAATCAAATTCTGCAAAACAATTAAAGTAGATACTGTTGTCATTCAAGTCTCCCCTGATTAGATCATCATCTCTCCATCCCCAAAATCATGATCAGAGCAGACAGGCAGCCAATTGACTGAGATAAATGAATGCAGAGGAGTAAAGTGCTTGGCATTTAGGGGCAGGGGCATCTCCCCCACATTCAGATCCTAAACAGGCAGCTCATCCTGGGATGTTTCTTAGTTCTTTCTGGGACTAGGCCCTCTTGGTCTTCCCTGACTCTCTGCTGCTGGATACGGCCTTTTCTGCAACCCAGGCCTTATCAGAGCATGATTAGGGTTTCCTAATAATTCTTCTCCCCACTGGAACATGTCCTCTCTGGGTCACACTACACTCAACCTTGCCTGTGACACACTTGTATCTCTCACAAAACTAACTACGTGCTTTTTCTAGTTTATGTGCCCAGGCTGCCTGGTCTCTGCTTCCCACCAGTCCTGCAGTTTTCAAGGACTGACACTCTGCCTGGCTAATTGCTTCCCAAGGGGAGCTGCAGGGAAACTGGCAGCTCCAGTGAGGCCTCTCAAGTTTGGCCTCGATAGCTGTTGTCTGAAGCTGCGTGTCCTACTGGGGACTGCCTTCCCTGCAGCCTCATTGTGATTCACACTGGGATCTCAAGCAGGGACCTTGGTCTGCTAAAAGGAAAACTCAAGACTCTGGAAAGGAAGCTTTGGCTCAAACCTGACCCCTGAAAGCCGTGTGGACACAACTGGCTGGAAATACTTTGAAGAGAGGTTCACAGACACCACAGTAGAAGCAAAGTTTAAGGAGGGTTTTCCAAGGGCAAAGGATTTTCTTGGTGTTGCTGAGAAGTTCTCTCTCAGAGAACTAAGGCTGATGGTTACAGGACAGAAAACATGACTGTGTTTCTGAGGCAGGGTGGCTGAAAAGAGTCCAGAGAGGGTGACTGCACTGCTCAGAGTCCTGCCCCCACCTGAACCTACCAGTGCTGTGTTCTCTCGTGCCTCTCTCACCCTCCACCTCCCCATCCCTGGAGCATCCTTACCAAAGGCTCCAGCTCCCGATGGTCAATGAGGCTGAACTCCCTGATGAAGTAGTAAAAGTGCTTGTAGCAGGTGTTGACGTGAGCCTCAGCACCCATGTTGATGATGCTGTCAAAGTGGTGGATATAGACGTGGACAAAGACACGGAAGAGGCGGGTGAGGATCTTGGTGCAAACTTGCTGGAACTGCTTGGGGAAGGGAACACCTGCAAAGCAGAAGCAAATTGGAAGCCATTTGACAATTTCCAAGAAAACAGTTAGCATTTAAATGTCACTGGCACATTTGACAGGCACTCACAGATGACAAGGAAGGACTCCCTTGGCTAATGTCAAGAATGACAGATACACTGGGACAATGTTCCATCTAACTCTTCCCACATATTCCCTCACTACCCAACAAGCAATTTCACACAGGCATGGGCTGAGGATTTGGGGAGCTGCCCTAGGAGAGAAAGTTTCTTATCCACTGGAGGAGACCACAGATTCCACATCTGGTTCAATCCAGAGCAATCTGGCAGAAGATTCTTCTGCCCCCTCTCCCTGCCTTTACCCTACAAGCCTGTGCAGGCACAGCATAAGCTGAATTGTATTTATCCAGGTCCACAAACAAAGTCAAACCACCTCCCAGAAGAAGAGATACCTTTCCTGTTCCTCTGAACTAAAAGCATGTTTCACACTCTTTTTCTTCCTCCCCACACCCTCAAACATCACATCTGATGCATCAACAGAAACGGGTGAGGTTTCTACCTTTTCTCCTGATCCTTGTTTCAATAAAATGTCTCATTAAATCAGGAGGAAAACCTCCCACCTTAATGATGTTTGGGTTGTAATTTCACTGCACCTGTATGATGCTCCCCCCTGAGATGACCTCCCAGGATGGTCAAGATTGAGACCCACCAGGCATTGCTCTATACGTGTAGCTTTGTTCCACACAAGGACACACCGTGGGACATTTATATCCCTGTCAAAACATGCTGCTATCACAGTGAAAATCTCAGGGCTGTGATACCATCAGTGCCAGTAACCCTGTGGTAAATCTCTAAAGGAAATGTGGCTTTGAAACCCTAAACATTCTCTCTTTTTTTTTTTTTTTTTGTGAGGAGGAAAATGAAACAACTGGAATTTGTTTTCCTGAAGCTTCTTCCTCTCCCCAGAGCAATTCAATGCAAATAGGCAAAGAACAAAATAAAAACCTCCTTCCCACGGTTGTACCAGCCTCCTCCCTTAGCTTCTCATTAATGCAGCACATAACCTCTGAAAAATCTTTTCAAACAAACTCTGCTCGAGCATGGCCAGCTCACAAATTTTGCGCCGGGGAAAGCATCAGCAAATCTCCAAGCTAAAAAATTAAAAAGGGTAATTTTTATCTTTGAATCTTTCTCATCAGCCTTGCAAGGCAATTAAAACATTTTTTTCCCAGAGGCTCCTGGCAGTTTTGTTTCCCAGCAGCAGTGCCGTGCTGTTCTCCTCCGTAGGTGGCAAACACAAAGGTCCCATCCCTCTGACATCGTGTTTTCAATTGCGAGGGTTTGGCAGGTGCTGGGCTTGGTACTCATAAGAGAAAATGATTTTTGGTCTAAAACAGAGTCACCCTCAGCACAGCTGCAGAGCTCTCCTTTCCTGCCAGTCTGGTACAGGCATGGATCAGAGAGAGGTCTCCTGGTTCCCCTGCAGCCAGGAGGGACACGGTGCTTTATCAACGGCTTCATTTGAGCTTCTTGCACCGAGTGAGAATTTGCTGAGCAAATAAAAGCTGTAATCACCCAGCTGGAGACTCAGATATGCCATTAGGGTGGCCCCTGCAGACCAGCTTTGAAGAACTGGTCAAGAAACATTTTCTTCTAATAAAGAAAGGTTTGTTACGGCAAATAATTTCTGATGAACACACATTGCTGGGCCCTGGCTGGGGAATACGCACTGTTCTGAACAACCCAGTCCTGAGCTGAGAAGAAAATAAGATCAGAGAGCGGACAGCAGGTCAGAGAATCTCAGGGTGCCAGGGCTGATAACATCTATGGTCCAGACACTGCTGTCATGTGAGCCACCTCCAGAGCTGCCAGATGGTGACATGTAGCTTTCCATGGCTTTTGTCCTGAGGATAGCCAGGAACCGTCTTGTCCTATGCATCAGTCACCAGCAAGTCTTTGTGGACGTGCCTGCAGCTGAGAGACTTAGAGGGGAGACACCTCCAGCTACATTCCGGGTTTTCCAAAAGCAGCTTTTCCATCAGGGAACTGAGATTTAGTGTAAATCATAGAATCAAAGAACAGTTTGGGTTGGAAGGGATCTTTAAAGGTCATCTAATTCAAATCTCATGGCTGTGAGCAACTATGGGAGCTGCTGAGCTCCTAAACCTAATGATGTACGGAAAGATACCATCAAGCTGCCAGGACCTCCAAGGACACTTATGGGCTACCCCAACTGAATGTGATTCACATGAACCAGCAGCATCAGGAGCTCTCGGGAGGTGAAGCTGGGCTGCCCTTCTTTGTGTCCATCACCAGGTGTCAGTGTGTGGCCGTTCCCTCCAGACACGTCCAGGCTGCAGTGGTGGCTGCCTGTTACTAATGGACTCCTGCAGGTCATCCCTCACCCTAACATGCCATGACACCACCAGCTACAGTCCTTTGGGATCACTCAGGTCTGGCTCTGACTCTTTCTCCCTGCAACAACCCTCTCACTTGCACACCTGCCTAGGGAGGCACAGCCCTTGGCCATCGCGTCCCGCTTCCTCTCCCCATGCTGCAGCCACGTCTGTGTCTCCTGTGCCAGGACCCTCGATACAGGCAATGGATGCTTGACTGGACCCTGCATCTGGCACGGGGCTCTGTGCCAGCTGATCAAAGCCCTTCCCTGCGGGAAGGAAGCAGGGCGGATTTCTGATAAGCAAGTTGCCTCTGCCAGCAGCAGCCGTGCCTCACTGCTGGTCTCCAGTGACTTGGAAAGCAACCCACCACAGCCCCAGCGGGCACTGGCCACGCTGGCAGGGAGCTGGAGAAATTCCCCATCCCACTGCCCAGAGCTGAAAGAAAAGGGCTCTCCAGTAAAGGCTGCATGTGAACAACACGGGGAGAGCAGCAGAAAGATCTGGAATAAACACGGCTCTCCCGGGGTCACAGCTGCTGGCGCAGCGGATGTCCAGCAGACAACACACGTGACATCCTCTCCGGCACGTGAGGGGACACAGCGAGGGCAGGCCGTGCCTCCTTCCTGCAGCCAGCACATCCCAGCAAGGGGAAAGGCCTGGGACAGGGATCTCAGCACTGGCCACTCACCTGTCCTGCCCTTGCAGATGTTTCGCTCCAAAACGAGCAGCTCGTTGCCATTCACATCATGGCACCACCACGGCACAAAGCGGGAGTAGCAGGTTGGTGGTAGCAGCAGGGGGATGAGGCTGGTGGGACTGACCCAGCATGGCTGAGAGGTCCTGTTAGCAGAAGTATGGCAGGCCAGGGCAAAGCCAGGATGGAGCCCCAAGTTTTGACAAACCACTCTGACAGGGTGATGCTGCTTGGCTTGGCTTCACCCTCCCCAGTCCTACAGACCTTCAGGGACCCAGCAGCACCATCCCAATTCATCCAATTGATGCTGGTCTCAGCTGCCTTGGGGGGATAGCAGAACACCACAAAACCCACCACTTACTGCATTAAAACTACCTTTACATTTAATTCACTGGTGCTCACCATCCAGCAGCCTTGGAGAAAGCAGCAGCAACCTCCCAGTCTGGCAGGCAGTGGCCACCCTCTGACTCTTCTTGCATGATGTTTAGTTTAGACATTAGGAAAAATGTCTTCACTGAAAGGGTTGTCAGGCACTGGAATAGATTGCCCTGGGAAGTGGTGGAATCACCACCCCTGGAAGTGTTCAGAAGGCATGAGGATATGGGATATGGTTTAGTGGTGATCACAGGGTTGGGTTAACAGCTGGACTCAGTGATCCTAGAGGTCTTTTCCAATCTTAATGATTCTGTGGTTCTGTGAGGGATGAGGAGGGCACCACAGGATGCAATGTGAACTTGCTCAAATGCCAGGAAAAATATTTATAGACAAGGTCAGCTCTTCCCTTCCACCCATGATCCCAGGCGTGCACTACCCTGACACTGCACAGAGACCAGACAGCTGGGAGCATCTCCTGTCCCAGGGAAGAAACATCCCAATCCCAGGAGGAGTGGAGCAGAGCAGCCATCCACAGCGGAGGAAAAGGGAGAACTTTACCCCTGTTCCAAATCAGGACAAAAGCTGTAAGTACAGCAGGTAGAGTTTCACTCCAAGCAGCGTGACTCACAGACCTGAAATGAATTAGCACCTTCAGTTTGTCTTGGATGCTTTGCTTGAAAATCCCAAGATTTGATTTAAAGCTCCAAGAAATCTGTTTTTCCCACTCCGTGCTGATTGCTTCAAAACATAAGGAAACCATGTGGGACCATGTGTAAAAGGAAATGAAAATGAGAGGTAACAAGTTGCCTGTGCTTATGGTAAGGGACTGCCAGTGGCTCTTGGATCTTTCCTGCCATCTCCCATCCCTAACACTTGTGCTCCAGCCAATTTAATTTTTTCATGATGAATCAGTACTGGGAAGCTATTTTGCTTCTTGGCAATTGTACTTTTTTTCCTCTGCAAATGCAGTAATTCAGTGAACTTCATGATGAATTGTTGTTATTTCTCAATTTCATTTTGGCCACCGTGGTGTTCGGTGACTCATTTTTCCTAAAAATAAGTCTTTAAAGCCCCATTTAAAACTAATGGCATGATGGCAGCAGCTGCAAGCTGCTGTGGTGTTAATTTTGGAAGAAAATAGCAGAAAAAAAAGACAAATTGGGTAAAAAATAGCCAGCGGAGAGAACACCAATAATTAGCTGAGTTCTGAACATTTTTCTCCTGTTGTTATGGTGAGAAAGTATCAGATAATTTCACACCAAGTTTTCTCTCTTTTTTTTTTTTTTTTTTAATTGTTTTGGGATCATGCTTGAATGGCAGAGCTTGAGTTCTGAAAAGCTTTCCAAGAACTGTTCCAAAATCTCCTGTGGCTGACGCTCTGTAGAGCCACAGGCAAATCTGGCAGAGATCACGGGGTGTTTCCGGCGCTGGGTCTGGTCCAAACGCTGCGCCTGTGCTGATTTAAGAATGGAGAGGTTTCAGCAGCCACGATGGTGCTGATGTTGGACACCTGGCCTTGTGCAACCAGCAGCCTGATGCTGGGCTAACTGGTGCAGACACAGCCAGCTGCCACAGGCCCTGGGAACCCCAGCCAGCCAGCCAGCCCTCCTCCCCAGCACGCTGCTGCCCAGCCACAGCTCCCTAAAACCAGGCATCACAGGGCAGAACGATTACAGGGGGGAGATGATATTTTCCAGGTGGTAATTTGTTCATGTGGCCACTCAGTGAATAAATCTGCTGATATAGTTTTACCAGCTGGTAAAAGGACACCTGTAGAATCATTTATTCTTCTCCCTGAATGGTAACAATGCTTATTCTCCATTTAAATGCATTTTTCAGGACAGCTACATCAGTTGGAAGAGTGGGAACAAAGCACTAGCACACACAAACTGATGCAGGTCATCTGGAAAAGCCGCTGCTGCTGTAGATTTATAGCCACCAGATTGGCATAGCTCACCCCACACAGGGATTTGTCTCATCTTAACTGGCTGACAAACAGGTTTCCACTCCAGAGAAAGTATTATAGAGCGGGATGGAGCCTTGCAGATGGATTTCCCTGGGGATGGGGAAGGCACAGTATCTCCCCAACCCTTGCTGTGGTATGCAGGGGGCTTGGCAGCACCCCCAGACCCATGAATAATCCCCACCACGGGGATTTTCTACTGATGCCATCCGAGGACTGCAGTCCTGCTGGTTAAGTCTGCCAGGTCACAAGCTGTCTGCTGCTCCCTTCCTGTCCTCTGGCCTCACTGCAGGGCTGGCACAAGCTCTGAGTCACACATCTTGGCTAAACCAAAGGTGTTCTTCACTTGGGTCCCTCTACTCCCCTCGCACCTCTGACACTGTGCTGAAGGAGCAGATGCTTTAGCAGGGCCCAGCTCTGCTCCAGTCACTGGAGCTGTGACCATTTGCCCCAGCCAAGGCCTCCCCTGTGACGCCAAAGGACACTGAGAGCCCACAAGCCAGTGAACCATCTCTGCTCCTTTCCAGCTGAGTCTCTCACCCTGGGGTGAAGGATTTCCGCCCTCTGGCCCAGGAAATACCATAACTGCACCGACAGCTGTGAGCAAGCCGTGGTGAATCATGTGCTGCTTCTGGCTTTGTAGCTCTTGGATGCAGAAGGATGCTGAGGTTAGCCTCAGGCAACATTAGCAAGTTTGGGGGACACTTCTGTTTCTAAAATAAACAAACTTAGCAAAAAGGAAAGTCTGTTTTGTCTGTGGTCAGGTGGCCTTAGCCAGGGAAATCTTTGTGCTGGGACAGCTTTATGGCACATGGCAAAGAGGGGTCAGGAGGGGAAGCTGAGATGCTTTCTCAGCTTGTGAAACACTTGCACAGATGGTGGTCAGCTGTGCCCAGGGACCTCTCCAGACCAAGCAGGACTGAAACAAACCTTCATGCTGAATCCCACCTCTCCTGCTAATTTCTCTCCACAACTCCAAAGCATGACATTTAAAATTTCTCCACACTAAACTCCTTTCACCTCCTTAAAACAGTTCACATCTCTTCTGCGTCCTCTCAGTGCCTTCCCTTGTCCTGGATCTTTTCCCTTGTTTCTGGCTCTTTAGGACAGAGGCTGAACATCAACATTTGGTCACTCTGGCCACTGTCCCTGAGTCCCACATCCTGCCCAACCTCCTCCATCATCCAGTGCATCCTGCCCAGCCTCCTCCATCATCCAGAGTGATGATGAGGAGCAGCCCGTCAGGAGCAGGCGGATGTGACATTTCCCTTCGGCCAAACACCTCCATCTTCTGAAATGCCAGAGCTGCCAAGCAATTACCCAGCACACAAGGCAGGCCAGTGAAAGGCAGTTAATTGTGGACATACTGATGACAAAGTGCCACTGGCTCCCTCCTCCCCCTGTCTTCCCCCCTCAACACCGCTTCAGAGTACAACCTCAGCCTGAGTTCTCTCTTGCATGTGTGAGGCCAGAACCACAGGGACGTGCCAGCAAGAGGACTGAAGTCACTCAAGGGACACAAGGGTCCCCACAACAGAGGTGCTTGGAAGAGGGATCCCAGGAACAATGAAGAGAAAAAAACAGATTTGCCCCACAATCACCTGCAGCTAGCCTGGATCTGCCCCAGAACTGTCCCCACACTGAAATGAAAAAAGAAGTGGAAACCAGAGGCACCAGCCATCCCTCCCCACATCAGGATGTGTTACACCTTGGAGGGAGAAGTGCCAGAAATGGGGTGCAAACCAGCAGGGCCATGACTGTATTGGGCTTTTTCACCACAGAGGGAGACATGAGCGGAGGGTGCTGCAATGTCCCTCCTGTGGCTGCCTGCTTTCTGCAGTGTTAAGACTCCCTTACTCCCCAGAGCAGCTTTCAAACAGCATCCCATCCCAAATCACACCAGAAAGGCACAAAACTGGACCAGGTCACTCTCTTTTCTGGCTGAAGGGAAAACAGAGTAAATCCATATCCATGCCTCTGCTTTTAAGGGTGTGCAGATCTTCTTCTCGGGGACAAACTGAGAAGGGGAAGACCTAGCCTGCTCCCTGTGGCAAACCAGAATTAAAGGGGAATTTGTTGTCCCCAGCAGAGCTGGGGCTGCTGGCTCAGAGCATCCTGCACCCACACTGTCAGCCAGCCACACTTCCAGCCTCCTCCGGAATGCGTGGACACCACGGAGCCCACGAGGGAGAGATGCCTCCATGGCACAGTGAATGTCCCTGGTGAATCCCACGCACCCCAAAGCCATCCTATCTGCCTGTCCTACAGCACAGGGACCCAGCACTGCCCTACCCTGACAGCCTCAGACCACCAGCAAGGGGAAGAAGGCAGCGAGTGCCTGCAGGGCTTGGCTTCAGGGAGAGAGAAGGAAACTCCCAGGAGGGGAGTTGTCCCACCCTAACCCCAGGCAAAGCCAGAGCAGCCAGGTCAGATTAGGGGTCTGGGGGGGGGAGGTCACCCCATCCCAGGGCCAAAACAGTTTGGTACAACCAGGCTGCAGGCACTGCCTCCCCTCTTGCTTATGGAGACCCACAACCCTTCTCAGCCCCCAAGAGCCGGAGACTTCCCTAAACAAGACACACAGCTATATGTACAGCACAGCCAAGTGGGGCTTCAATAGTGAGTAATACAAGTAATCCCACACAGACCATTTTCTTCAGTGTTTCCCAGCATATTAATGAAAATTCTAGTCCTAAACTGCAATGATTCCATCCAGCTCTGTCAACTGTGCTGCTTGGCAAAACAAAAAAGGTCAAGCAGACTTGCAAAGCCTTGCCTTTCCCCCCCAGAGCTCCTTAAATATCTTTTTTGCATTGAAGTAGCTTCGTGTTCCACCTGTAAAACAACCAGTCCAAGGCATGACCTGAGGCTCTTGAAGACCCACAAACCAAGGCATCAGCTCCAACCCTTTAACTCATCTCCCCAGATGACAAAAAAGCAGTGAGGTAGCAGCTACTGTCTGCCTTGGCAGGTGCTGAGCATTGCAGGTCAGCAGCAGGGGGTTTAGTTTGTAGGCTGTGTTGCCTTTGGCAGCTGCTGCAAGCTCCCAAGGCCAAACTTTTTGTACACCCTGGGTCTTGGCAGTGGAAAGGCCAAGATCATCCTGGGGACAGGAATATCTCTGCTCAAGTGATGCCTCAGCTACACAGCGAGACGTGAGGTATAATCAGGGCTGAGATGGAAAGGGCTGAGTGAAGCAGCAAGGTCAGACAAAGGCTAGACCCTGGGACCATGAACCTACGTGGAAAACAAGAAAGAAATTTATTTGGTTAGTTGAGAGAAGAGCGTGCTGCAGGGATGTGATGACCACTTCTAACCAGCCCTGTGGCTCAGCTCCTTGAGGAAAGGCAAGGAAGCTGATGACCTACCAGCCTCCACTTCTCACAAGCACAGAATACTTGGAAAAGTCCAAGCACAGAAAAGGAGAACATTGTGTTTCACATCCCCTAGCAGCAGGATGAGAAACCCTGAGCTCAGTGTGCAGCAAAATGGTGTGGGACAGACACTGGGTAACACCTGGAAGAGGAAAGGTCACAACACTTGGGATCGCAAAGTCCAGCAAGACCGACCACGAGGTGCACCAGCGGCTTGGGAACCTGCACCAGTTAAAAACCCCAGCCTTCCTGCAAAGAACCAGAGCACACTCACCTATCCTGGTGGGGAAGATGTCCTCGTTGTTGATGAGCATCTCGATCCAGTCCATCAGCATACACATGTACTGCGGAGCCGACAGCTTGGTCGGCTTCTTGTATTTGCTATCGTCCTGCCACCTGTACTCGTACTTGAGGCCCCCAGACATGATGGGGCAGCTCCTCTCCGTGCAGTACTCCGACATGGTGCCGTAGATGAGGTTGATGCGGTTGAAGAAGTCCACCACGTGCACGGCGATCCAGTCATTGATGCTCTCGCCGGGAGGCAGCTGCACCACCGCCTTCAGGTCCAGCCCGGACTTGAGGGAGGCCTGGGCTTTCTTGTACAGCTCAAAGCGTTGGGTGCCCGGCTCGAACTTCTTCCGGGGACGAAACGTTTTGTCCTTGTTGAAGACTTGCTTGAGACACAAAGCCATGGTGGGCAGGGCCTGCCAGGGCGAGGGCAGAGGCTCAGCGCAACATGAAACCCAAGGCTGGGGTCTTCACGGGTGGAGCTTTCTGGAAGGAGAAAGAGGCACATTTGGATCACATACGAAGCCAGAAGCATGTGTGGGCACACTCGCAGGGGTGAGTTCACACCAGCTGGCCTTGCTGCTCTGGCAGCACATGGGAACAGAGATTTGGGGTGAGCTTCTGGCCCCTCCACACACAACAGAGTGACCTGGAGCAGCTGCTGCCACCTCACGGAGCAGCCCCAGGCACTGGAAAGGGTAAGCACTGCCACATGTGCCCTGTGCAAGGACTGATGGCAGACAGAGCCCTTCCTCCCTCCTGAGCAGCCCGGGAGCTCACCAGGCTTCACCCGACCTCTCCCCTCCTGGCTTTTACCAATAACTGCTGCGACAGAGCAAGAGCCACGACATCAGCAGAGTCCACCAGCTCAGGTAGTCCCAACCTGGTGGCCCTTTCCTCTTTCTGGCAAAGGGGAAGGATCTCTTTCCCAGGGATTTCTCAGTGCACATAACCCCTGACCCTGCCACAGCGGCTGGCGAGCGAGGCCCCGGGGACCGCGCTGCGACCGCAGCTGGCTGCTGGTTCACACAGCCCCAGCGCCCAGATGAATGGGAAAAGGAGGCGGGTTGGTGGGGGGGGATGACTTCTGTTGTTCTGCCCCGTGTGTTTGTCCTGAAGAACAAAACCCACATCCGAAGGAGGGAAGCGCAGCCCGGCGCAGGAGAACACCGTGCCAGGATGCGGCAGTGCACACAATGCACCCGGCAGCCCTCGGCGTGGCGGAGCCGATGCTCCGGATCACTCGGTCTGGAGGTCACGGCTCGGCAAAGTGCTGAGCTCACCCCTTCCTGCCCGAGATCAGCAGCACAGACGAGGCCTGCGGTGTTTTTCCCTGTCCTCCCTGAAGCTCCGGTGGAAATCCCGGGCATTTCGTTACCTGTGCCCGTCGCCAGGGGTGGTAACGTGAGAACAAGTTCCCCCTGGTGCTAAATGCTTTGCTGAGGCTCAGGGAAGAGAAAGTCCTCCAACGGCCTCCCCCTGATGGGAGGAAATGGAGAAGCAGTTAAGAAAAAGGAAGGAAAATGTTCATGGACAAGGGAAGTGACTGACCCAAAGTCACAAGCAGGAGGGAATGGTGCAAACCTTGGATGCACATAGAATCATAGCATCAGCCGGTTTGGAAAGGACCATTCATCATTCAAAAAGACAACTTCAGCCAAAAGCTTGCTGTATAAACTCTGTTTCCTAAATTCAGTCCTGAGCCCCAGGCAGATCTTATTTTGCCCAGCAGAGATCAGCTAAATACCTGAAAAGCGAAACCCTCTGCTCCCCTTCCAGCTCACCCCTGGGGTCATCACTCAGGGGCAGCAGGACCTAGTGATCATCCCAAATGCCAGCAGGATCTGCCTGGCAGGGATTTCTGCACTGCAGCCAGCAGGTGGCACCGAGGGGAAAACCCTGGCTGGATGCAAGCCCGGTGTGAGTGGGAACCCCAGCATGAGTGCCATTAGTGCACTAACCACGGGCTTTCCAGAAGGAGCTGGAGCTTTGCCACTGTTACTTAGGCACAGTGGCATCCAACCCCACCATCAAACCCTCTGCTGTACCCAGGTGCAACCAGACTTGAAAATGTAAGTTTTAGGTGGTTTCTGCCCCACAGAGGGGGTCACAGCCATCACACAATGTTATGCACTATGACTTTAATAGCAGGGTATCTGCAGACCTTCCCTATCTCATGTGGCTGGGTGGGATTTTTATGGCTCCACCCCTGTTGCCCTCATTTGTTGCCCCCAACCATGTCAAAGAGGCCTGTTCCCCACTTCAAAAAAAAAAAAAAGCATGATCTCTCCAAAATGCCAACCGATGGAGGGAGCTGGCATCCTGTCATGGCTCCCCCCTGTCCCAAGGGAAAGAATCTGTGGCACAGCAGCCCTGATGGATCCCAGTGGAGGCCAGGGAGCTGCGGGCACAGTGAGACTGGAGAGAAAAGCCCTTCTCCAGGGCTTCCTGGATTCCACATGTTCAAGGTACATCCTGTTGATAACACCTCTAAAAAAAGCCCTCTGGGGAGTTTTCTAACACCTAACAGTTCCTAAAATACGTATGTGTGTACACATACATATATATTTATATATAACTACTGCAATGCGGATGCTAGTCCAGTAATGAAGGAAGTGTCAGGATACCCTCAGGATGAGGCACCCAGCAGGCTCCATTTGGAAGGAGGTATGGCAAGGCTGAGCAGTGCCTGGCCCTGCAGCCAGGTTTCCCTGGAATTTCAGCAAGGCACGTAGTGCCTGTAAACATTTCTCCATGTCACCATTTCTGCTGCCCTCAGCTCCATCTGCTCTGCTCCAGGAGCTATTGCTGTTTGCAGGCTCTTCCCTGTAGAGACTGGGTTGTTCCAGGGTGATGAGCAGCCACCCTGGCAGATGACATCCCATTAAATGTGTCATTTCCAGGGGCCAACGGCAGTGAAATCAGTTCTCCTTTAGTGTCTCACTCTGCCAGACCTCCACAAATATTGAGCTGCTAACTGGGAAACAAACATCTCATCTCCTGAATCCAGACCTCTAACTCATCCATGACTGCATTCCTGCATCATCCACAGCTGGATCTCTGTGTTATCCTGCATGCTGCTCTTATTCATCAGACAGGTGGGAATGTGCCTCATAATTCGGCACCATCTGAATAGAACAGCAGTTATAAAATAAAGAGAACGACAAACCTGCTAAACATCTGCCAGCTGTTTTCCTACCAGGCATCTGTTGGAGATTGCTGGGAATGGAAAAGCAAAACCTGTTGCTGTCCCTGAGCCAGTGGGATGCCAGCACAGCACTGCAGCCTCTCTGCTCCACAGGCAGCAGTTTTGCTTTCAGGATCCTTGTCAGCACTGCTACCAAATTACCAGGCCATTAAAAGACCTTGTCAGTCTTTGATGGAGAAAAATGTTCCCCAGAAATTATATTTATCACAAAGCCAAAAATACACCCTGGGATTTATGACCCGAAGAAGCAGAAAGGGGCACTGCGCCAAAAGACAGATTTGTTCTCTACCTCTCTCCAAAGCTTGCACTGCTTAGAGAGATCAATGTGCAGGGAAGGATGGGAGAAACAGTGGACATGACCAGGACATGAAATCCCAGCTATGGGAAAAGAAGCCTCAGCAGCGAATGAAAGACCAGATTTTCCCACTGTTCACCCTCATGCATCCAACCTGGCTGCTGCTCTTCCATCACCCCCCAAGTACCTGGGGCAGATCCATGTAAAGAGGTGGAAAGTGGGAGATCTTCCAAGGTTTAGCTGTGGTGCAGAGTTCAGCTGAGCCTGATGTTCAGAGTTGTTGTGTTCCTGGAAATCAGGCTGTCGTCCACTGGGGCTTGGGGTGGGACAGGAGGCCTGTCCAAGTCCAGATCGCTGCTTGCACTGCCTATTTTGGGAATTCTGAAGGGCAAGCTGCCATTCAACAAGCTTAGACAGCAGCTTCCTACGACATGACTGCACAGATCCCGCCGCCAGCCCTGGCAGGGCCTGGGACAGCGCCATGGCAGCAGCCTGCAGGTCTCTGCCTTCAGTTCCCACGTGCAAAATCAAAGCTTTTCCTAGAGGAGCCTTGGCAAAGGCTGTAACCCTCCTTCCCGCACCACAGTTCCCATCATGAGGTGGTACTGGCACCCCAGGGGCTCACGCATCCCTTCCTGAAGCACCTGCAGACCCCCAAATCAAATCTCATCCCACTCCTGGGAGCAGACAGGGAGTGAAGCAGGTGGCTGTGGAGCTGGAGACCTTCCCTGCCGTCACCCTGCATCCCCACAAAGGATGGTTGGAAGAGGATGAGAGAAGCTGCTGGGTAGAAAGAGACAGACACTTCCCATGGGACATCCACACCACAGAGTATGTGGTGCTCACCCCCCTCAGCGCTCCCAAAATAGCCTTGGCTTTGCAAAGGGCTGGCTACAAACCGAGCTGAGTGACCACAAAATCCATCCCATCCCTGGCCATGAAAGCTGCTGGCTTCAGCCCTGCCCCTGGTTTCACTAGCAGCAGCAGAGGCAAAACTCAGTAAGTAGGGTTTAGCAAGAATCAAATGAGCACAGGATGAAGCTCTGCAAGGACACGGCAGAGCTGCTGCTGGGGAGGTAGCAGGCAGAGACACGTGAAAAGCTGATTTCCTAGACTGCTGGCAAGTCTAGAGATGAAAGGAAATGAACTGGATGGGAGGGATGTAAGTTCAGGGTCAGACTAAGCTGCTAATTTCAGATTTGAGGGCTGTTTTAATTTTTTATTTAAGCTCTTTCTTTCCTTCCTTCTTTTTTTCTTTCTCTCCTTCTTTCCTTTCTCATTTGAAAACCGAAGGGGAACATGGCAAGGCAAAGGCTTTGTTGTAAATTAAAAACAACGCTGAGAGGTCTGTTTAGAAACTGGCAAAACAAAAGGGGAGAGCAGGGAGAGCTGCGGGAGGGGGGCTTCCTCCCCCAGTCCTGCAGGAGCGAGGCAAGGTCACCAAAGAAAACCTCCGCTTTTGACCCCAAATAAGCTTTAGTAAGAAACCCAGCAGGAAGGATCAGTCAGACCCACTGCCAGACTCCAGGATGGTGGTCACGGGGACGGTCCCACGCTCCCTGCCTCTGTTTCCCCAATTTTAAAACTGATCTCCCTCCCCAGGCTCCCTTTATATTAAGGGCTGCCAAAACAAAGGCTTGGGGGGGAAGGGGGGGGAGGGAAGTGCTTTGCAAGCTCCTCTGAAGAGCACTAATGATAGTGAAGGATAAGGAGAGGGGAAGCTCCACACCAGCACCTCCCAGGGCTCCAGTGCCCAGCGCATCCTCCCTGGATCAATCCCGAGACAGTTACACACTTGCACAAGCATCTGCCTGGAAGCCGCAGGCGGCCTCGTTAGCAGCACATTCCAACCCTCGTGTGACAGCTGGGGAGCACAACAAGGGGTCCAGCACCGAGGGCAATCACAGGGAGACTCCGGCTCCCACTGCTTTGGGAAGAGGCCGAGCAGAGAGAGTGCAGATCTGTCCAGCTCCAGGCTCCTCAGAGCAAAGTGTAGGTCAAATAACACCAGCTCTGCACATCCCCCTTGAGCTTCCCTGGGAGGATCTTGTGTGTGGGGCACCCAGATGTCTGCCACTTCCCTGCTTTAGGGGGTTCCCTTCTCCCCACGACAGCAGAATAGAAGCCCCATCCAGCCACATCCCAGGGGGAGGAACAGGACAGCATCACCTCAGCCACCATGTGCCAGAGTCCTGAGCCAGCCAGCCTCCAGATGGACAGTCTGCCCAGAAACCAGCTGATCCTGGGACACATTGGCTTTTCACTGCTCTAGGAAACATCACTGCCTGGCTGCAGACTCAGCAGCCCTGTCTCTGGGCTTCCCTTCCAGCCCTGTGTCCAGGCTTCCCCTCAAGCCCCAGAGAAGTCCAGATACAGTTTGGTCTTCAGCCTGTCCTAGAGCATCTTTGCAACCAGGGCTGCTTCTTGGTGGATTCACGCCCCAAAGACCAAGGCTGCTTTCCCTGAGCAGCCCTTGAACTGCAGCCACCCCAGCCCCAACCCAGGCAGGGGCTTTGGTGCATGGTCCTTCCAGGGAAGGGAGTGTATCCCCTCTTTTCCAGCCTTTCCAGCCTTTTAATCATCTGTGGAAGGACAGCTGCGGAAGGAGACACTGGGGAGCACGGTCCTGGGTGCTGGCTCTGCTCCCTCTATGCTTCCTCCTGGAGCCAAGCCCCAGCTGGGCTGTCCGTGAGAAATGGGGTTATTGGCTGCCGATCCCAAATATAACCCAAACGCTGGAAAATTCCAGGAAACGAGCCAAGACAAGATGCCGGGATGGGGATTAAGGCCTAGCACGCAGGCTGGGGGAACTTCAGAGAAGCTTTGGGCTCTCAGCAGCATCTCCCTGCTGCCAAACCCTTCTTCTGCAAGCTCCCCTGGCGCTGCAGAGACCCATGAGAGCATCCTCGAGCACCCACCTCCAGAGCAGCAGGACTCAGCCTCTCACAGCCCAGCTGGGGGCAGCTGCCAGCAGGAAGCCGTGCTGGTGCTTCCCCCAAATCACATGGCGCTCGGAAATCCCCAGCTCAGTGCAAACCAGACCCAGACGGCTTCCAGGAATGGCACTGCACGCTCCCGGGCTTGCCCCCCAGCTGTCCCCGCTGTCCCCCTGCTCTGTCCCCTTGCTCTACCTCACTGACACACCACCAGCAAAGCAGCAGCTCCCTGGGGATCACAGCCCAAAGGCACCAGAAAGTTTTTCCTGAGTCACACAAGACACCTCCAAGCAGAAAAGCAAAGTGCCATCTCTGCAGGTTAGAGGCAGCACGTCCAGTTCATTTCAGGCATGATACCCAGTGGGGCTGGGGTTTTTTGGGGTACCTCATTCCTGGGGTCTGAGATCTTGCTGGCCACTATCAGTGATTTGCTTGGAGCCCTATAAAGAGGTGTCCGATGGCCTCAGTGGTGTCCAACAGCTCTGGTTCGGTCCCAGGGGTGATTACCCCGTTGTCAGACTCGTAATTCCAAACACCTGGAGTTCCAGGCCTTTGAGCTCGGGGAAGAAGACGAAAAGAGATAAGCCAGCTGCTGAAAACCCATCTCCACTGCTGGCTCTCCTCCAGTTCCCCCGCCCACAACTTTCCGCCTTCCCTCCGACACCGGCAAAGCCGCTGCCGGGACTGTCCCACTCGGGAATCGGGGTGTCTGCCCACACCGCCTGTTGCTTCCCCTTTCCTGTCCCCCTTCCCCTGCGGGACCCCCTTTCCCTGCACACCGCCAGCCATTGGCACGGATCCCTGCCCGGCATCCCCGAAACAGGCTCCCTTGTATTTACTCGCTGCTGAGCTGGGACACAACAGAGGAAGGGGAAGAGCCTCCTGAAGGCGTCCATGCCCCAGCTGGGGGAAGGATCGCTCCTTCCCCGGCTAACGCCAGCCCAGGTCTTGCCCATCCTGCGCTTAAAAGCACCTCAGGAGCATCCTCAGGGGTGCAGTGCTGTCTTTTTCCAGCCCCAGGACTCACCTCATCTCCGGCCCTCCTGTTTCCAGCCTCAAGTCCCTCCGCTGCCCTTTCTGCTCATACTCGGGAAAAAGAAAAAAAAAATTAAAAAGACAAAAGTCCAAGCCAGGCTCTACTATGGGGACTGTCGGCGGTTCGGGGATCGCCGCAGCAGGGAGAGCCGCCGCGCTCCGGCGCTCACTGGGGTTTCGTTAGAGAAACGCGGGGAGCGAGGGTTTTTCTCCGGTCAGTGATGTCACATCCTGACCCTGCCGGCAGCTCCAGCTGTCTCTGGAAAACCCTCTTGGAAGCCGGCCTGCCGGCCCCCCCCCCATCCGCCGCGGTGGGCTCGCACGCTCACGGGTGGGCACTCGGACCCACACCCACACCCCCGCACCATTCCTGGATGCTGAGATCCTGTTTGGCGCGCAGTCCCATGCCGCTGGCTGGCTCCCAGCTTTCACGGGAGAGCAGTGTGCTGGGGAAAGGAGATAAAATCCTGTTGTATCCCCCACACACCCAAATCTTTCCAATCCCTCATCCTTCCCCATCTGCACATACACAAAAACCAGCGGGAGGTTTCCATACCAGGTCAATCTGGACTCCGTCCAGAACAGAAAAGCCGGAGATAGGGGAAAGAAAAAAACGCAGAAAAACTTTCTCCACGCACAGCACTTACTTTCCGTCTCTGTCGGAGGTGGGGTGAGTTCTAAAGCGCGTTGCGGTATTTAAATCCTGCTCAGCAAAGGCAAGCCTGCGCCAGCACGCTCGGCGCCGACAGGAGCGGCCAGCCAGCGTGGGATGAGCCCGGCAAGGGCCGGGATCTCCTTTGGGTGGGGGTGTAACACCGCTGGTGCACCCCACGGCTGATGCTTACGGGTGTTGCTGCGGGGTGGGAGGCAGAGCACAGCCCTGGTCACTCACGGCCCCCTTCCTGGCGTGGTGATGGGTCCTTCCCAGGGGATGAGCCCGGCTCAGCCGTGGTGAGAAGCGATACCAGCCTAGCTGGAACGTCCACAAATTGTTTGGCAGCGGGACAGTTCTAACGAGGGAAATGCTTCTAGACTTGGCTTAAAATGTGTGTAAAACTCAGGCTGAGCCGAGTGTCTGCAGGTGATGGGGTGGGCTGGGGAGTGGGGCACAGGGCAAGGCGGAGTAAAGAGCAGGAGTGTGAGAAAGGAAACCACAAGCCCAGCAGCCTGAGAAGGGAGGAGGATCTGGCTGCTGCGCAGGTTTGTATGAAGCAGGAGGTTTTAGGATGAGAGTTTGACTCCCTGAACCCTGCCTGGTATCCTGTAGTGCTTCAACTGTGGATTTACCTCCTGACCCCATGTGACCTATAGGGTGCATCTCTGCAGGATCCAGGCTCTTTTCCCCATAACAGGGCTTCTCAGCTGCAGGCAATGCCAGGGTTTGCACTCAAGACACAATGTTCAGAGGCAGCCTTTAAAAATGAAATTACACAGCAGTCTCCCAGACCAGAAAGCCATGAGGGAGCTCAGCTGAGCCCAGGCCCTGCAAGACATCTGCTCTCCTTTCCTCCCTCTCTCTGTGCAGGTGGTTTGGTGCAGGTGCAATAGAAGCTCTTTGGCACCTGCAGCAGCAACTTATTAGAAGTAAAGAAGACATTTTAAAGGCTGTGTCATCAGGCAGCAGCCACCAGTGGATCGCTTTCAGCTGAAGCCAGAGGGAATTGAAACTTGCACACCCCAGAAGCCCCTTGTTTTCCTGCCTATACCCATTTGGGATGTGGCTGAAGGGCAGGTCCTGAACCAGGTGATGGCAGGAAGACACACCAAGGGCATGCAGGATTCACCTGTGCTTGGCACCCACTACAACATGAGATGGCTGAAGCCACCCCAAGACCTGTGGGCTGAGCCTTTTCCACATCAGCCTTGCCCTGCTCATGAGTGAATCTCTCGCAGTCATTGCAGATAGTCTCAGGTCGAAATAACACCCCTAAAATCAGGATCTGGCTCAAGTAGCCCAGCAGACTCTTCCTGGCCATTGTCAAACCAGCCCCATTCCTGGCTTCAGCAGGTTCAGGCAAAGCCTTTTTTCATCCCCAGTGCCGGATACTCCCTGCTTGGACATCACAGCCACCGCAAGTCCCAGCAAGGGCTGGGCAATCATCACAGGGACCCAGCGGTCACCACTGTCCGTGCTCCTCCCCAAGGGATACAGGAAACCACAAAATGTCCTCAGACCTCGTGAGCAGGAGGCAGAGGTCTGCAGAGCAGATGTAACTCCCAACAGCAAATGCCAAGCCAGGAGGAAACTTTCAACTGAAATCCCAGCAAAAAAATGGGCAGAAAGCCAAAAAGAGGGGGCTTGGCCAAATAACAAAGATCCCGAAGGCAGCTCATGGCCAGGATTTGCATCCAGGCGAGATGGAGCCAAAATACTGAAGAGGCAAGATGGGGTCCTCCCACCCTCAGTGGTCTGGAGCCAAAGGAGAGGGGCCAGCAGAACAGCAGGAGGGCTGGAGTTACGTCAGCTGCAGCCTCACAAGCCCATGGGGGTGAGCAGCGTGTCCTGCTCAGGGAGTGACCCCCTCACATCAGGTTTTGGAAACCTCACAGAGCAGAGAGCCCACGGTCCCAGAGCCACCCGGGGGCCCAGCTGTGGGGAGCGGGGCTGGAGTCACTTGGGAGAAAGGAAAAGGTCCGAGGGGCAGGTTTGGGGCAGGAGGGATGTGTTATTGTGAAGAGGGCATTTGATTGTCCTGGAGGAAGGAAGAGGGGGAAGTTGGTCCTGCTCCTGAAGGCAGGTGCATGGCTGAATTTATCAGGGGGAAGGAAGCAGGGATGGAAGCAAGCCCGGAGCGCTGGGCGGCTCCATCGGACCTCATGGGTGGTCACAGGAAGAGGCCCAAGGCAGCGCTGCAGCTTCACTTGGCTTGGCAGGACATGGAAGTGCTGGGGGGGAGGGTGGGTGCAGTGAGACCCCTGCCAGCCCCCCACCAGCCACGGCACTGGGCCAGGATCTCCCTGGCCACGCGATGCCCAGCACGGCACACACCTCACAGCGCCCCGTCAGCAGCCAGGGAGGTGTTTGTTCCCAGGCAGGGTTTGAAGCCTCTGCATGCCTGTGCAGACCACAAGACAAAGCAAAGGGAGCAGTGGGTTTGCTCTGGTTATTCCCAGAGAGGCAGAGGACGTGCCCAGAAAAGTTCAACTCAGCTTCACAGGAACAGTCAGTCCCCGTCTCTGCTCCACCACGTCCTGCACAAACTCAGAGATAGGGAGTGACAACTTGTTCAGCTGCAGATCAGAGGGCACTGGAGTTCTGCCATTTTCTAAGGCACAGGGAAAAAGCCAGGCACAGATGAAAAGCACTGGAGTCAGCATTTCAACTGAGGGTTAAGAACATCATCCTTCAATCTGCACTTCCTTGATTGCTGTGACTGCCGCCTTCCACAAGCCAGGGTGTCTCCCTGGAGAGCAGGACAGGCTCTGGGTTTCCTGCTGACATGTGGGTACCTCTCCCCAGGGCGACAGGGCTGGGTGGGCAAGCCACAGGGTTTGAGACGCTGATAACAAAGAGCCTCTGGATGCAAAAACTTGCTCCACCACTCCTAGCAGGAATTCCTGCCACATCCTAGCCCTGGGCTCTCCTCCAGCTGGAGGCAGAGCACAGCCAGCACTGAGGTGGCTCCAACAGCACCTGGTTCAGCCATGAAGTCCTTGCTGCAGGGTGCTGGAGGGGCTGAACTTCATATGGGGCCACCAGGAGGCTTGGGCTTCTCCTCCATGAACACACCCATTTGAGGGCTACTAAAAACAGACACACCCAGCTTGGGAAGACCCTGGCCCATGAATGACTGGAAATCAGTAAAGCCACCTGGAAAATGATTGCAGGATGTTTGCTCTCCCCAGGGCAGCTCAGGCAGGATTCAGGACACTGGACTAGCAGAACTACTGGCCAAACTCAGTGCAGCCCACCCTGTTATTGCCCACACAGGAGCAGCCTGGCCATCTAAATGGTTTTCAGCACAAAACTCACCCAGAGTTCACAAAGCTGAGCAGACGGGCTCAGGCAGGCTGTGTGTGTGTGTGCCCAGAGCTTAGAAAAAGGAGACAAATCTTCCCTCTAGTGGCTGCACGGCACATAATTCCCACAGTTACCTTCTCTACCCGAGAGTGTTATTTTTCACCAGCCCTTAGGCTCAACACAGATCCCAAGTACATCGAATCTTACAAATTCTGTGTGAGTTTTTAGTGGTTTAAATCTGGCACAGCTGCTGGTTTGCACAGAGCCACAGCCAGCCCTGGGGGTCTGTGCCCACTCTGCAGCTTGTAGGTACCTCTTCTAAAAGCATCCGGTAATTCCCTGGATGGGAATTCACACCCAATGTACATGAGTTGCTGCTAAAATAAACTCCCAACAATAAAACATACTGTCTACATTTAGTGCTTAACTGAAGTGTTCACATCAGAGAATGGTTTGGGTTGGAAGGGACCTTTTAAAGGTCATGTAGTCCAAAGAATGGGCTGAGAAACTACGGAATGACGAGTATTACAGCTACAGGATCCTAGAAGTACACCAGCAAGCGGTGTAAGAAACCTTTGTAACTAATCACACCTCCCTGTCAGGTCGTGGCTGAGGGTAACACAGAAAATCTGACATGAGCCCTGCCCAAAAAATTGGTCTTCCTCTAACAGAGAGACGAGCTGCATGCCCTTCCTGCTGACTTTTCTTTGGCAAAGAAGGGAATGCTTGCCAGCCCCAGCAGGTTGACAGGACACAGTGTGGCCTGGACATAATAATTAGTGCTACGGGCAAGTTAGTGCCAGGGATTCGATGCAGACGTGGGAAGTATTTCAGCATTGCTCCTGGGAAGCTCCTGGCTGTCCTGTGTTTACTCCTCTCCCTGTGCAGTGCTGCTAATGCACACACAGGCTGCACGTCCCACTGCTGCACTATGTCCTTGTCCACCGACGTGTCGATTGCCTCTGCCAGGAATGAAAACAAGAGAAGCTCAAAGCATGAATGGTTTGGGATTCTTTTGTTGGAGGCAGGTTTAAAAACCCAAACCTGCTACAGTCTGTAAAGCCAGGCTCTTACCAACACTGCTGTGTTAAAGCAGCTCCACATATTCATGCTAACACTTTTTTTTTTTATGAGCTGTCACTCGTGGTTGGTGTCTCTCCCTCTGTCACTACTCCAGTCCATCTTGCTTTTGTTACAGATAGTAGTGCCTTTCCTGAAATAGGAACAAGAGCTAT